AAAAACGAATTGTATAACTTGTACGGCAGCAACTTCAACGCGTTGCTCTAAGCTCCATTTACTCTGGCAGGCTACGTGAAAAGGCACGGCAACGGCTCCTTTCAATAATGCGGCGATGATTTTCTGGGCTCCAACTGGAATCTAGGCGCTGGCGACGGTTCGTTGGGAATTTCCACGATTAAACATGAACTTATGGTGCTTGTTGAATTAGCCGAGCTCTGATTACAAAAAATGGCTGGTACTGTGCACAAGAATGCGGCGGCAAATCGGCAAATTCCTTTTAATTTGCAGAATCGGAGACAAGTTTTAGACCTTTGTAGAGTCTAGAAAAAGTGGGGGTGAGTGGGGGGAGGGGTGTAGAATAGGAACCCCTAATTTCAAAAATCCCCCTTTTTTCTTGCAACCCTATAGTTTTTATATAATTTGTTGTTAAAGTTTTCGTATAAACGATGAATAAGATAGCAAAATAATATCAAACTTGGTGTTGCCAGACTGGGATTTTGAAAAATAAAAGCGGATTTTCCACCCTATAATGAATCCATACGATACACGATAAACGCTTGCATTTTGTTGTGCCGTATTACGAAATAAATTCTAGCGTATGAAATTCGATAGCTACCGTTTATCGTATATCGTTAAATTTTGGTATTACCATACGATAGCTATCGTATCAGCTGCTCAATTTCATACGCTTGCAAGCGGTTGTCCATTTTTACACGATACTATACAATTTAACAAAATTAAAGTGATGTAAGTATTAAAATGAATAACATGAAATTATGGAAACGATTTGAACAAAATACTGCAATTTTTCAGGGCAAAAACTGCGAGAAAGAAACAAAGTTGAGCGTGCTGCTTCTCCAAGGGGTACGGTTTAGTTATTAGCACCATTATTTTGGGTTGTTGTGTTCAAACGCGTTAGTCGAAGTTAAAAACTTTCACATAAACGTGTAGTCAAAGGATTGAGCTTTAATTCAAAACAAAGATTTCATATTTCCAAGCACTGTTTTATTGATAAATTCGGTTTGAGGATGCAAATTTTTATAAACACAGTAGAAACCTTAGGTTGGGGTAATTCAATAACGCTCCGTTGCAACACTCTGTTGGTATGGCCCCAGAGCAAGAAATCTCAGAGTTGTGAAAATCTTTAATATATTCGGTATGGATGGCGTTTTTTACGTGGGCGCACCTC